GACATCCCTGACACATTCGTGGCATTCTTTAATCATGGGTGAAGATTCCATAACCTCTTTCTTCTATCCTTGACTCTAAAGCCAGAACTATGTGGCACAAGCTGCTAAGTTCTGCTCCTTGCTGGGGCAGGCACATGTACCCTTCATTCAACTACATCTTTACCAGCTTTCTGTTTTCAGTGGTTTCCTTCACTGCATAAGTAAACTGGAACTGGATCTGTAGATCAAGCTGGCCTCAAGCACAGAGATCTACCAGCCTCTGCCTCTGGAGTACTGGCATTAAAGGTGTGTGCCACCACACCCAGCTCTAAGCGTTTCTTTAATTTCTTTTCACAAGTTGGAAACTTAGCTGGGTGGGATCTTGCCTGAGATCACTACTCCCTTTCTTAATCTGTTTATCTCCTTGAACACAGGATTTAGCTACATTGTACTTCCTGATGCCTCCTTTCTTCCCAAATTGTACATTTTGTATTTTTCCTTTCTCAGCTTTTTCCTTTTCATTATGTAACTTAATTACAGTTAACATTAATTACCACATAACAGAGTCTATACTAAGCTGTTTTTAGATTTCCTCTGCCAACGAATTAATCTAAATTTCTTCACTTCAGACTCAGTGAGACTCTTCAGACAAGGGCAAAAGGCAGCCACATTCTTCACCAAAATAACATGAGACTAGTCTCCACATAATAAATTCTTCTTCTCTGAAAACTCTTGAACCAGGCTCACACAGTTCAAATCTTCCATGCTCCTACTAATATGTCCCACTAAGCAGTGCTTAAAGCATTCCACTGCTTTCCTTACCCTAAGTACCAAAGTCCAAATTCCTCTAAAAAGAAACATGGTCAGGCCTATCACAGCAATATTCCACTCCTTGTATCAAAACCTATATTAGTCAGTGTTCTCTGGAGTCACAGAATTTATGGAAAATATATATATGTGTGTGTATTTTGGGATATATATATACGTATATGTGTATATATATATATATTTTTTCAGGCTCAGGAAGAAGAAACATAAAGATTGTAAGAGCTAGAAGATGACTCCAAGGAAACTGTCTTCCAGACACAACAGGATTGACATACACATGTGAATCACAGAGACTGCCATCATAGACAAGACCTGCACAAATTCGAGCTGCACAAAATTTTAGCATAGAGAAGGCAAGAAGTCCCACCACTAAACAAGAAGCTATTTGCAATTGATACCTGTTGGGAAAGGGTTTTCTTTGATGGCGTGTCATTGGCTGTATCAACCACACTCCAGTGCATGCCCAGGAATAGTTGGCCAACACAAAAGGACTCCATGTTTTGCTGTGTTTATTGCTTTGGTGTCTTTAGTCTGTTTGGTTTGGGTTTTGTTTCATTTGTTGTTTTTTGTTTTGAAACAGAACATGAAGTGGATAGGATCTTGGAGGATTTAGGGGAAGGGAAAGAATATGATCCAAATATGCAAAACTTTTTGAAAATAATTTTCACAATAATTTAAAAAAGAATTTGGACTGGACAAGTCAGTAGCCATTCCATGTCTTCTTCACCAGTTTTGACATGGGGAGGTGTGTGTGTGTGTGTGTGTGTGTGTGTGTGTGTGTGTGTGTGTGTATCTCGGTATTTACTGAGTGCTCATAAATAGGTGTGGAAATGGCTTCCACCCAAGGAAGGGGTCTTTGCATTTGGTGCCATAATGTCCCAGACCCCTGTGTGTAAATCAGCACTCATTGTACAACCTTGGATGAATCCTAATGTTCCTCATCTGTAAAGCATTGTGAGAATAACAGGACTTACTTTATGAGTGTGTTGTGGTAGCTTACAGAGGTAATCCTGGATGAGTGCTTAGCATGGGTCCTGGCTCATGGATGTGCCTGATAAATACCAGCTACTATTATTGTTATAATCCGCCCGCTGGCCTTCTTCTCCTAGCATATAAACACATTAAGCTTTTTTCCATCTTAAAAAACATAATAGTCTGAGCCTAGAGAGATGGCACAGTGGTTAAGAATACTTGCTGCTCGACTAGCACCTTTATCATTTCCCAGCACCTTTATCAGATGGCTCACAAATGCTTATTACTACACCTTCAAGGAATCCAACGCCCTCATTGGGCCTCCACGGACACCCAGGCACACATGGCATATACTCACACAAAAACATACATACACATAAATAATAATTTTTAGTGTTGTAGGGACCATGGAATTGGAATTGGGGATAACCTGAATCTGTGTTGCTGGATCTGTCACTCATAATTTGGATTTCAAAGAAATCAAGTGTATGATGTCTTATGCATTTTTGTTTTACAGTAGTAGCCTGTGGCTTTACTTTTACTTATACCCCCTTGCCCTCTTTTTTTCCACTCATATCCTTCACTTTGCTTTTGGCCATATATGTGTAGTGTAGGATAATACTCAAGGAGGCATTGATAACTGCCTGACCACACCCTGAGCCAACTACTGCGGACAAGGCAACTACATGGAGAGTGAACTTGTGAGCCAGAGGGTTGTATGCCTCCACTCTTCCAGCTTCAGTTTCCTGGGTACGCAATTTGGGGTAAACTTCTTGTTATTTCTGACTCTCAGCTCCATCACCAATATGCTGGGGATAAGAACATCTGCTTTGCAGGACAACAGTGAGGTCAAAACCGATGATGTGCATAAAGCACACAGCACACAAGAACAACAACAACAAAAAAATACCTGTCACTAAATATAAATGTCACAGTGGCTTGCAATTTGCTTGAGGGATGAGACATGCATAGGAAAGACTGGAGAAGAATTTGAGACCCATTTGTCACCATCTCAAGAACGCAGAAGGAATGTCTGTGCTGACTTGAAAACAGTCTGAGTTGAACTCTACAGAGTGTTTAGAGAACCTAGGAAAGTACCCGAAACAGGATGGGCTTGTCTGAGGTCAAGCAGGACATGTTTTATCCTTGCCCCAACCTGCCCTGGGCCCATATTGCAACACTGGGCTCAATCGAAGGTTTCTCATGAGTAGTCATTTCTCGTGTATTTTTAGCAGAGTGGGCTGAACTGGAACGTGAAGGAAAAACCCATGGCACTGGAGACAGTGAACAGCCAGCAGCTGAGCCATAGAAGCAATGGACAGGAGAGTAGATATGCCTTTAATAGTTACAGAAGAGGAACACCTGTGGGGACTGCCAGTGACCTTGACAATGGCAGACAGAGCTATAAAACCAGCAGCAGAACAATGGAGAAGCAATGGCAACAGGCAGCAGGGCCGACAGACATCAGTAAGGAAGGCTGAGGGAGCCCAGAGGCTAGTAAAGTTGCTGCTGCATCTGCCACCATCTTACAGTCCAAGACCTCATAGACCATGGAGCTATAATGCTAGCTACTAACAAGAGATGGGAAGTCCCAGTTTCCTAAGATCATTCATCACCCCAAGATGACCCCAGAACTACACAAAACCTGTAACCTGCTGCCGCCCCCATCCATCTGCTGCTGCTGCTTGTTGCTGTCTAATACAATGGATACCGAGGCTGCCAAGAACCAGCACTTGGGCCTCTCACTGCCTTGCATGATTTCCATCCAGGTACCAAAGAAAGGCCCCAGGCAGCTGCGTGGGAACAAAGGAATGTAGGTAGGGGACTTTGAAGGAGGAGCAGGTTTGAAAATGATTAAATAGAGCTGTTGGGAATGGGAGCTGATCAGAAAAATAAATAATGGCTTTGATTTTGGCAGGCCATTCTGGCCATTTTAAAGCCAGGATTACAGGGCAACTGAGGAATTTCCAATCTGGAAATTAAATGTGCAGGCTGTAGTTAAAGACAGAAGAAGGAGCAGCATGTTTTTCTCTACTCTTAACTAATAAATCACCTCAAAACCTAGCTGACTAAAACAAGCATGTATTGGTTAGTTTCTGTAGATGCCAGAATGGCTTGGACTGGATGCTTCTGGCTTTCTGTCTCTCATGAGGTTACAGTCAGGGAATCTAGGCTGCAGGATCCGTGTCCAAGCTCATTGGTGGTGGGGTGTTGTGCTTCTTCACTAGGCAGGTTCCTCCATGGATGGCTTATAGCACTCCTTCTCACATGAAAACCAAAGAGGAGAAGAGCCCAAGGCTCAAGAAGGAAGCCTCGGTCCCTTATAACCCATCACAGAGTGACACACCATCACTCCGGCCAGTGTTATCTGCCATGAGGACCAGCCATGGTGTGGTTGGGCTATTGGAAACAGGGCTGCATGGGATCTTTAAGACTGTCTTAGAAGTTGGTGAGTACAGGTGAGTTCTCCAAGTAAGTTTCAGACATTGTTAGAAATGCATGGATTTGCTAAAATCATGGAACACCCACCAATATAGACTGGAAGGAAGGAAAAACTGAGCTAAATTAAAGACCCAGGAATATCAGTATAGCCTCAACAAGAGTGTGAAAAGATTCCAGGAGTACAGACCCAAGCTGAAATACCACAGTGATAAAAATAAAAAAGATCATACAAAGCTTAAATAACAACAAACTAATAAATTAATTAAACAAAATAAAACAAAACAGACAACGACTGCACAGAGCAGGCCAAGACAGCCTAGTAATTGATGGAGCCAGATGGAGAGATTCATAATCAAGCACCGGGCTGAGCTTCAGAGAATCCAGTTGAAGAGAGGCAGGAGGGAATATATGAGAAAGGGAGGTTAAGGTAATGATGGAGAAATCTACAGAGACAGGTGAACCAAGCTTTGGAAACTCATGAACTCCAAACTGACAGCTATGGAGCTTCCATGGGACCGAACTAGACCCTCTGTATGTGGGAGACAGTTGTGAAGCCTGGGCTATCCTTGGGGCCCCTGGCAGTAGCCCCCGGATCTAAACCTGATGCATGAACTAGCTTGTTATAGCTCATTCCCTGTGATGGGAGAGGGGATGCCATGCTCAGCCTTGATAGGGGCAGGGGAGGTTTGGTCCTGCTCCAACTTAATGTGCCAGACTTTGTCAACTTCCCATGGGATCCTTACCCATTGGCGGTTAGCTGGGTGGGAGATAGCGGGGGTTGGGATGTGGGGGGGGGGAGAACTTGGGCTGGAATGTAAAATGAAATTAAAAAAAATAAATTTAATTAACTTGGACTGCATTGTGTTGTTGGAGTCTGGTTTTGTTTTCAGTAGATTTACCTTTGAAATTCAGTCTTACTGTTACTAGTAGAAAAACCATCTGAATTCTCCGACACAGAGGCTAGATGCCAAGAGAAAGTAGCCCAGGGGATTAAGAGTTTAATTAGGAGCTATCAGGACCTGAATTTTGTCCACAGATAATCCACACTGCCTGTAATTCCCAGAAGGATGCCTTAGAACCAGTGACACGAAGATATCAGATTTTCCACATCTGATGTTTTCCACGTTCACATAGGCCAAAAAGCTACAACAAAGAAGACAGTATTTTCTGTTAAGACAATATCCCCCTCTGAGAATTAGATGTAACCTCCCCAAACTAGACTTTTGAAGGACAAGCTGTTCTTACTTAAAGCCAGGCTTGGAGTGTGTTCACTTGTTTCCTTAGAGGTCCCTCGTCCCTGGCTTTGCTGGTGGAAGGTCACAATTTCTGTCCAAAACCAGATATGTTATAATGTTTTCTTAATTAAAAACACTTTGAGTCATGCTTCCTGAAATGTGCTATGTCACTTAGTGTGGGGAAGAGGTTGATATTCTCTGCAGAATCAAATAACTAACAGAGGAAACGAATAGTTGAACCTGTCACACTGAACTGCAGATTGTTCTGGCTTTGCAAAGTCACTCAGATAGGCCAAGGCAGGGAACTGCCGGTTCCCATCTCAGCTCTCATATATACCAACATATCTTTGTAACTTAGAAGCTGAATTTTCTTTTCTTTTTTGAGAGTGAGTTAGGGTGTTTGGTTTGGTTTGGTTTGGTTTGGGGTTTTGAGACATTGTGTAATAACCCTTACTGTCCTGGAACTCACTTTTTAGCCTAGACTGGCCTAGAACTCAGAGAGCTCCCTGTCTCTGCTTCCCAAGTGCTGGCATGGAAGGTGTGCACCACCACACTCAGCTGAAATTGAATTTATCCATAATATTGGGAAATCCACAGGCCCCGCCTGTTATAGTGGGTGATAGTGTGTCTGAAGCCAGTAATGTTTACATAGACACAAATAAATAGCAGTTATTTTATCAGAAAAAAGGGGTCTTGTACATGCTTGATAATCTATCACTCAGCTACATCCTCAAACCAGAAAGCAATTCTCAATACTTGCTATCCTGCAAGCGAGGCAGGAAAGGGTCCTGACCCTGCTACAGAGCTTTAAGGGTGACATCTGACCCTCACAAGCAGGGGAAACTGAGGCAGAGCCAGCCAACAGTGCTTTTAGTGACACAAGGGGTTAACAGAGGATGCTGACACATCTGGGTCTGTAACAAGCATTCTTCCTGCCAGTCTGGTCCCAGAGCTGCATCAACCCCAAATAACACACAGAGACACTATCAGTCACAATGCTACCTGCCAATGTCCAGGGCTTATCATTGGCTAGTTCTGTCTTAAGTGTTAACCCATGACTACTCATATATATTTCTATAAGGTCTTATCTTACCAAGAACAACAGGTTTGTGTGTCCTCTCCTCCTGGGATCACATGGTGACTCTCCACTCTTTACTATATTTCCTAGAATCCTCCTCGACTCCTAGTCCCACCTATCTTGCTTCCCTATTGGCCAACAGTGCCAGACAAATACATGGCATGCATACATACATGCAAACATTCACACATATACATAAAATAAAAATAAATAAACTTGGAAAATAAAATAAAAAACATATGAGATCACTATGAGAAGGCAAGTTGAGGAAGACCAAGCCAGCAAAGAGAAAAATCCTAGCAAATCTAAAGGCAGGCAATACAGTAGCTGAGGTGTTTCAGTCACTGAGGGAACGGGTGGATACATGTGTCCACAGCACCTGCCATTCTTGTCAGAAAACACAAACAGATGTTTAGATGAAGTCTGGATTTTTAAAAGAAAGGTAAAAATATAAAACAGAATAAGTCAAAAGACTGACTTAAAGGGCAACTAGAAATTATGTCAAACCAAATCAAGAGAGCCTGTCTGCAGGGACCACAGGCAAAGGCATCTGTCTGTCAGTCGGGTGTTCCTAAAGGGTCTTCAACTCTCGAACAATAATTAGTTATCTAATTAGTGCAAGATAAATATTACATTCTTCATTATCAGCTTAATAATGGCAACAATTTTATAAAAATCTTACACACGAGGGCACTATGTCCCAGCTCCCAGAAACCATCAGAGGCCATTGTCATCTCCACCCTATCCTTTCGATACTGACCCCTCAGGACCTCCATACAGTGACCTGATGCTCTTTCTGGAATTTGGGTTATTTTACAGTCCTTTGAATTACTCTTTTTAAAAAAAAAATCCCCAGCCTTGTGAACATCCCATTCATGACTGTAGTAAATATCAGTTTAGTACACAATTCAACAAACTCATGGAATGAAGGGTAGAAACTGCTGGCCTTAAACTGCCAGAGGCTCATTTGGAATGACATGTATGTGATTTGATTGAATGAAATACATAACATTTTGAGTTCTCAGGGATCTGCTGAGAAGGTGCTTGCTATACTTAATTAGCCTTGTAGTGTCCTGCTTCTTGGAGCTGGCTCATGCTTCTGGGTTATGTAATGTGCCTACAGCTACAGAGCTTTGCTCCTGCAAGCCTTGTTCTTCTCTGATAGGAGGAAGATGCTCAGTACCCAGGACCAGGTCTGAATCTCTGCGTGTCACCAGATGGTCATTTAACAAACACTTGATCAAAGAAATTGTACAGAACTCTCTTGTTTGAAGCCCTCCCTTCCCTCCTGCTTTAGGTTCAAGTGTGCCAAAGGGTAACAGTGGCAGGAGGTAACAGTGAAGAAAACAACTGTATATGTTTGCTCTGAAAGTAACCCTAAATTTCTTGATTCTAGACACAACCTACATGTAAAGTACACAGGGAAGATCTGTAATCAAGTCCCCAAGGGGAATGTCTTGTGTCATCTTAACAGATCCCATCACAAATGGCACCTTCCCTTCAAAGCCCATCTTGTCCAAAGTCCATCTCCCTCTTCTAGATTTCTTTGGCATTTGTTTTAGGCAAACAGTCTTACACAGTGCTACAGCTTGAAAGTTCCTTGCAGGTAGGATCTGTGTCTTACACATCTGTGTATGCTCCCCAGCCTTCAAACACAATCAGTGCTTAGTAACAGAGGGATATTTCTTCTCTGTAATACGAGGTCTAGGCAACAGGAACATGACTTTGATACTAGCCTGGACTATACAGAAAGTAATGCCAACCCCAACCCCACCCAAAAATTTTTAGTGATGTACTAGTCCATCCAGGAAAGCTGTTATAATCATAGGGAACTTTGCCAGATAGAATAGAGAAACTCCAGTTCTGGTCCTAATTTTTATGCTGTTAAATTATGATCATGTCCACCATGTTTCTGTGGTAAATCTCCTGTTCCTTCATAAGGAAACACACACACACACACACACACACACACACACATTCTATTTGAGGCTACATGCATATTTGCAGGAGGAGCTCACCCCATTAAGCCCTCTTAGCACCAAGAACTCTGCAGACAACACCAGGGAGGTCCAGAGTAACCCCAGTAGCGTGTAAGATGTCACCAACTCATCACCTTGCTCTCATCTCTTAGAGTCCTTTTCTATTTCTTCTTGCCTGCATCTTGTCTCACCTCATGTCATCTTGATTTTTGAGACAAGGTCCTTCTATGTGTCTCAGACTGGCCTGTAATTTACTACATAGCCCAGTCTGGCCTTCAACTCACAATCCTTCTGTCTCAACCTCCTGAGTGTTGGGATTACAGACATAGAACACCATACCTTCTGCATGACTAAGCCATCCATCCATTCATTAATCCAACCATGCAGTCATTTGAAGTGTATTGAGCAACCAGTCATGATGGTTAGTGTTATGAACTGGGCATGACCTAGGACCACCTAGGAGACAAGTCTCAAGGCACACCTGTGAGGGATTATCTAAATTGTCTTAGCCTCTGGGAATGCCTATAGGGCATTATCTTGATTAAATTAACTGAAGGTCCACCATTTGATTAATTAACTGAGAAGGTCCACCATTGGTGGTACCATTCCCTAGGCTGGGATCCTGAACTTCATACAGAGTGGAAGTGAGCTAAGCACAAGCAAGCATTTATTGATCTCTGCTTCCTCTTTTGCTTTGTTTTGTTTTTTATGCTATTCTATTGTTGTTGTTTTATTTTGTGTTTTTTTTTGAGACAGGGTGTCAATAAAGGCCTGGAACTTATTGTGTAGATCAAGCTGACTTGGAATGCACAGAGATCCTCCTGCCTCTGCCTCCCAAGTGCCACCATGCTTTGCTGCTCTCTGTTTCTTGATAGTAGCTGTAATGTGATCAGTTGTTTACACTCCTGCTGTCTTGACTTCCCCCAGCAGGATGAACCATACCTTAGAACTCTGAGCTAAATTGGACCCTTTCCCCCTTATGTCACTTTTGTTAGGCTATTTTATCACAGCAGCAGGAAAAGAAAGAAAATCAGAAGTGCCAGCACATCATCTGGGGAGGGAGGCCCACAGAAGGATATCAGTAGTCAACAAATTTAAACCCACTGCCAAAAAGAGCAGGGGTGGGGAGCAAGTGCAACCCGGAATGGTTGTGCAAGACGCTTCTGAATAATGTCACCTCCCCAGAGGGACATGATGCCTCTGCCTCTCCAGCCATGTACCCTCCAAACGTTTTCAATAAAAACTGGGCTGCAGCTGGCCTAACACACCCCATGAGCATCTCCTGGCGTCTGAGCTGGAGACTCCCTGGCTCCTGGCTGCTGGCTGTTGGCTCCTCCTGGCTCCAGAAAGGAAGTGCAAATGGAATATAGTCTAACTGAAAATGTGGAGCTGACAGTGTTTCCTCAGTGGGAAAAGAGTCTCTGTGTCCAGAAGTGCGGGAGTGGAGACTGCAGGGAGTGGGGTGGCTGGTCTGCCAGGAGTGACAGGAAGGTGAAAAGGGCAGGCTAAACTTCACCAGATGTTCATGACTGTTGTTGGTGGAGTGCAGTGGCTCCTGTTCTCCCGGAGATCCCTTTTCTATGCCTAAACGAGAATGGTTCTACCTCTGTGAAAGAATGCAGTTCTGCAGAATCATTTGCTTAAAAGCTCAAAGGTGTTGTATGACTCTTTTCACACTGAAGGCTTTCATTTACTGGGGACAGAGGACACAAGCTCATTTCCTAGAGCAATTATTCATGGAAGAAATGACTGCTGTGTCTCATGACTTCTAGGCAAGTATTGGGTCGTTTTTCTGACCTGGCTGATGTGAGAAGGTGAGGCTTAGGGAGTCGGGGTTTTCCTTCTGGCTCTCCCATTCTTGGGCTGTGTGACTCTGAGCAGGACCCACCCCCTCCCCAGCCTCAGCTTGCTTACCTCAGAGGCCTGTGGCCCCAGCGCTCTGTGTGAGGAGAAGTTGAGAAATGACAGGAGGCTGAGCCCAAATCACTGAGCAGTGAGGTGATGACGGTCGGTGGATGACAGCAGAAGAATGTGGACGCTCCATCAGGCCCTGCGCACCATTCTATGTGAGGCGATGGTGGAGAACCAGAGTGATTGAAGAAGGCATATTCCACAACAGAAACCCCCACATTCTTTCCCAAAAATATGCATCTGCCAGAACCATAAAGAGAGCAGAGAACGATGGGTAGTCTGTGTCTGGTATTCACAAATGGGGCTGAATGAGTGGAAACGTCGGGGACTGTTTGTTGTCCATGTCCTCCCTGGCCAGCACTCACACAGCTGGACAAGGCCTGAGATGCTACAGACTAGCCTGCAGCTTACAGATGATGAAGAGGGATAGATTGTAAGCAAAAGGGACAGAGATTCAGCAAAGGCCTGGGGAAGTGTGGATAGTGGACCACAAGTTGTGCTGTGGAAAGAAATTGAAGTCAGGAGCCCTACTCTAGTACTGTGTTATTCCTTTTGAAGCAAGGCAGTCCTGCTTCCTTACATTTTTCTTTCCCAGAATTGTCACTGTAAAATAAATCACATGCTTGATAAGGATATAGGTAACTATTTACTGTGGAAGGTACTTACAAGAGAAACTGGCAACCCAGGTGGGTCAGCAGCTTTCCGAGACCGGACCGGAAGCCTGAAAAAGAGTGTGCATCTCTCCTGCAAGGCCTTTTATTCCCACATCCTTGTGCACCTCTAGCCACGCTCAAAGTGGGCGTGATCAGTGGCACAGGTATCTAAAATCTCTCCCTACAATTCCCCTTTTCGTCTAAAGAAGATACTGAAACTTAAAAGTAAATTGTGTCAATATACAAAATATCTCAAACATATGTAAAGCATAGATACATAGAAGATGATAAGGACATTTATACATAGAAAGAAGACTTTACACCGTATAACCAATTGTGATAAACAAATTATAAATTACCAGATGATAATCTACCTATATCCCATCCTAAGCATATCTATTCCATCTAAACCTAAGCTTATCCAAAAGAGATGCCCAAGCCTGAACACCTCCTTCCAATCCCAACCCTAAGCAATGAAAACTTATTCTAAACAGGTATAAATTATCATGTAATGTCAACAGCAGGGACATTTTCTTCCCCCAGGTTCCCATGAGATTGTCGTCATCCCATTTCAACAGGAAGTAATTTTTACTGTGCCCTCTTTCCCTACTGTTGATATTACAGGATAGTTTACACCTGTTAGTGTTAGTTTTCAATTATTTTAGAGTTGGAATTGGAAGGAGGTATTCAGACTTGGGCATCTCAGATAAGTTTAGGATGGGATAGATATGCTTAGTTTAGGAAAAGAGTAGATTATAACTTGCTTATCACCTTCAATGTACATGTGTTGCCTATGTTTGAACTTTGTAACAAGTTTAAATCTTTTATTTAGACTAGAAGGGGAATTATAGGGATGAGCCCATAATACTGTATGTGGGACAGGTGATATATAAAGGAAAGGAAAAGCAAAAGCTCTCTCTCAGAAGCTAGCCACGTTCCTAGGGCTCCAATCTCTCTGTAAGTAAATTCTATATTCAATAAATATGTTAGACCTTCCTTTTAGATAGCATTATTTCCCCGTTACAAAATTCTTTTTTTCCATGTAGCTGACAGGACAAGAATCATCTTAGTCCTTTTAGAAGAAAGAAATTTTATGAGTGAAGAAAAACAGATTTGAACCTCATTCCTGCTGACTATATGATTTTTTAAGTCATTTTCAGTGATTCTGGTTTAAGAAATGAGAATAGCACTGCTTAGTCAGCAGGTAAACAAGAAGCCACTGGTCACCATCTCAGGTTCAGGGTTAACTTCAGAAGTCCTGCACAATAACAGCTTAGTGGGCAAGGGAGATGGCTCGGTTGGAAAAACGCTTGCTATGCAAGTATGATGGCCTGAGTTTGATCAACACCGATGTCAAAAGCCAGGAATACAGTGGTAATCCCAGCTCTGGGGAGGCGGAAGCAGAGGACACTTGGTGCTTGCTGGCTAGCCAATCAAACCAAATCAGTGAACCTCAGGCTCAGTGAGAGACTCTGTCTCAGAAGTGAAGAGTGATAGAAGACAGACCTGACACCAACCTCTGGCCTCCACAAGCACACACTATACACGAATGTGCGCCCACTCAGATGGACACATACATACCCCACCCACACCCATGCAAGAGCATATTTAGAGCAACATGTACTTGTTCAGCCTTCATGTGAATCTGCTAAGGGACACCAGAAACATTTATTACACAAATATTGAAGATGCTATTAGTACCTGATAACCTAAAATTACTCAAGTGCAAATGTCACTTTAAGGTACTCATGAGGGGACCAGTGCCACAGCACAGCAGGGGAAAGCAGTTACTGAGCAAGTCCCACAGCCTGAGTTCAATCCCCAGAGCCCATGGTGGAAGGAGAGGACCAACCCCCAAAAGTTGTCCTCTGACCTCCACATGCACGCACAACATGGTACATGCGTGGCTGCACTCCCATACCATATATGCACACACCAGTCAGCAGTAGCTGGCTCTGTTTGAAAAGCGGGTATCATTAGATTTCAGCCCATGAATTTGAACTGGTAAATAAATTACATCTTTATTTCTGGAACCTTCTCACTAAGTTATTATTCTCTAATCACACACGTTTCCATAAACCTGAAGTTATACTAGCCATACCTATTTTACAGTTGATATGGGTTTCATGAAATATTGTACTTGCTCAAAAGTACTTTGAAATTAGACCTTAAATTGGATGTTATACAGCGTATGTCTCAAGTCTTTAAGTATCTTCATATTTGCAAACTTGGTATCATGTGTTTGATTACTTACATTTTATACATTGCAAAGCATCTTTAGGGATGGCTGCACAAGTTTCACCAGAAGGTTTTTGTGGGCACACACATTATAAAACCTGGTCCAGGGTACTGTTACAGACTCCTGAGGCAGGAGGCTATCAATAGGGAGTTTTTCTAAGGGTGTCTACATATTTATCCTAAACCTAGGATTCCCTTATCTCCTCTGTGGGAGCCTGGAGCCTGTGGGCACTAGCCTCTTCTTCTGGCTCTTCGTCTCTGCCTCTGCTACAAGGCATGTCTTCTCAAACACGTCTGTTTCCCCAGCTCCTTACACAGTGACTGGTCCAGGTGGGGTCCCCAGTGAAACATGAACTGAACTTCTATCCCTGTTCAAACAAGCACACAACCAGCTACTCCTGTCAGACAAGGTGGGCATATGTGCACACCTACATACAAACAGGCGAGAAACCTGGGGGATATTACTGGAGTGTGGAGTCCATTCAGTGGGACTTGTAACAAATAAATTCAAAGGAGCCCTTTTCCCCCTAATAATCTTGCTGGCAGTGTGAGTGCACACACACACACACACACACACACACACCGCCCCCCCAGCCTGACCTAACCCAGCTTCACGTGGTCTCCTCACCCTCCCTCCAGGGCTGGCTCCCCAGGACATATAAACATCTTTGGACCTCAGGCTTGAGCCAGAAGGGCCACCCATTCAGATACCTTGCAGCAGAGCTTTCCAGAAGAAACTCACACAGCTTCCACACCAATGGCCTTCTATGCATGCTGCTGCAGCTGTGGTCCCAAAATGCTATCTCTCCAGCTGCTCTTTCTTTCCTGCCTGATGTGGGGAATGGGAGCAAGGACAGCGCAGTTACGGAAGGCCAACGATCGGAGTGGCCGATGCCAGTACACCTTTACTGTGGCTAGCCCCATTGAATCCAGCTGCCCCAGGGAGGACCAAGCCATGTCAGCCATCCAAGACCTCCAGAGAGACAGCGGCTTCCAACATGCAGACCTAGAGTCCACCAAAGCCCGGCTCAGCTCCCTGGAGAGTCTCCTGCACCAACTGACCTTGGGCCAGCCTGCTGGGATCCAGGAGGTCCGGGAGGGGCTACAGGGCCAGCTGGGTGCCCTGAGGAGGGAACGGGACCAGCTAGAGACCCAAACCAGGGATCTGGAGGTGGCCTATAACAATCTCCTACGAGACAAGTCAGCTCTAGAAGAAGAGAAGAGGCAACTGGAACGAGAGAATGAAGATCTGGCCAGGAGGCTGGAAGGCAGCAGCCAGGAGGTAGCAAGGCTGAGGAGGGGCCAGTGTGCCTCAACCCGATCCTCCTCTCAGGATATGCTGCCAGGCTCCAGGGAAGGTAAGAACGCCGGGTGGAGGGTCTGCCCAACCCAGGAGGAGGCATGTTTGCTGGTGACATGTTACAGGGCTCCCAGGCTTCTCTGTTTTGTCTTTTCTCTCCAAAACGGCAGATCCAGCTCACAATAGCTGCATTAAGGTGAGCAAAGCAAGCATTTTGCGTGTTTCTAGCAAGTTGGCTCCTTATTTAGGTCAATGGATCTGAGTTCTTGTGCCCATTTATGACAAAGTTATCACTGTCAACAGCCAAATAAAAAACACAAGGCCAGGTGAGAGATACATGGTGAATAATCAGTAGAAAATGGCCAGCTGTCCCCTTTGGATAATTAATTATTTTTCAGAATTTTTTTCTCAGAAATTGTTATTACTATCAAAATGGCTTCTATTTATGAAATGCCAGATGATCTGTGCAGTGAAATCTGGTATTATTATTACTATGATCATCATCATTAATTTATGTGGTTTTTCAAGATAGGGTTTTTCTGTGCAGCCCCATCTGTCCTAAAAACTCACTCTGCATGCTAGGCTGGCTTTGAACTCAGAGATCTGCCTGCTTCTGTCTCCGTGAGTGCTAGGATTAAAAGTGTGCTTCACTGAGCCTGGTGGTATTTTATTTTTAAATCTTCTACCTTGGTAAATAAAGAGGAAATAATTTCTCTATCCAGTCCTATGGCATGCGGCTTTGAAAATTTTGCCTTTTTTTTGCTGAATCAGAGAACGTCTGCTTTTCCTGAATAGCTCTGAAGTGACCCTGCTCACAGAGGGGCTTTCCAGTTTGTCCTGGCTCCTGCTTGGAGATGGGTCTTTGGATGGATTAAGAGAAAACAGTATTTTGCTTTCTGTGTATTTTCTTTGCCACTTTTTGAAAATATTTTGTTCCCAAACAGTCACCTGTTTCATGTGGAACATTTTGTCTAGATTCCTCAAATCTAGTTAATGTCAAGAAATGCTGACAGTGGGGGGAGGCTGGGGGAAGGTTTCATTTTAGATAA